TGGAGAGGAGGTGGAAAGGGCTGGGGTTCACTCGCCAGGGCAGCTGTGTGGCATCAGGCAGACAGCAGGCAAGCGAAGCTGAGTCTCCCTTGCTCTCCTTCAGGGGATCTCCGCTGAAGGGGGAACTTGTGAGGGACCGATGAAGAAAAGCCAGGCCCTCTGTCATAGAATGTCAGGGTTGGAAGGGACCTCAGGAGGTCATCTAGTCCAACCCCCTGCTCAAAGCAGGGCCAATCCCCAGACAGATTTTTTCCCCAGTTCCCTAAATGGCCCCCTCAAGGATTGAACTCACAACCCTGGGTTTAGCAGGCCAATGCTCAAACCACTGAGCTATCCCTCCCCCAGGTCACCACTGCCCATATCAACTTTGCATCCAGATTTGGGAAGAAACCAAAATTTCTAACCATTGGAATTTTCTGTGGGATGGCTCGTCTGTTTTTCGACCAGAACTAGTTATTTCTAAGTATAATTCTAAAGTCAGACACCCAGTATAATATAGACTCGGATCTGCCACACCACCCCCTACAGACAGGAAGCCTCACGGACAGGCTTGGCAGAGTCTCACAAACGAGGCAAGCCCAAAGCAAACCCATTCCATAATTTGGGTGAGGAACGTTTAAAGCTGACGGGGACAGGGTTTGATGTTTGAGTCTGTCTCCAATTTTAAAAAGCAACAGAGGGTCCTGTGGCACCTTTAAGACTAACAGAAGTATTGGGAGCATAAGCTATCGTGGGTAAGACCCTCACTTCTTCACTTGCATCTGAAGAAGTGAGGTTCTTACCCACAATAGCTTATGCTCCCAATATTTCTGTTAGTCTTAAAGGTGCCACAGGACCCTCTGTTGCTTTTTACAGATGCAGACTAACATGGCTACCCCTCTGATACTCTCCAATTTTAGTGCCCCTAGTCTGAGGCAACCTCTAAGGCGTGACGATACCTTCTGGAGATGATCTCAAATACACATCTTCAGTGTCTCTGCCTCTTTCTTTCCTTCCTCCTCGTATTGTCTGCCCCAGCCCCAGCCCCTCTGGCCTTCTCCGCCCCTCTGAGCACTGATTCTTGTTTCTCCATTCTAGGTTAAAACAGTTAGAACAGAATCTGTTGAAAGCCAGTTTCCAAGAGGACAACTTCACTGTCATATGCCCCAACATTCAGACTTTAGTTATCAAGATTAAGCCACGGTTCCTAGGGCTGAATCTCAGCAGCAAGTCAATGCCGGTCAGTATCCACCTTGCTCTAACAGCGGGCTTTGCTTTCTAATCACTGTTCCCAGCGTAGGGCCTCTCATACTGACAGCGTTCTGGCGCACAGAGCGATAGCACGAGCTTTCGTTTCCATAGGAGTCTGATCTCTATTTCCATTCCCCCATTTCTCTGTCTCCCCCGCTCCATCACACCTGCCTCTTCCTCTTTTTTGGCCGAGTGCCTAAAGTAAGATCTACAAAGGAGTAATTTCCGGAAGAGACCAGATTAGTTTGGTTCCTTCTGGCTTAGTTCCCTCCTTGCTCAGCTGGCAGAGCTGCTGCCCACAAGAAACCCCATTTGCATCCTGGCTGAAGTAGTGTGAACACGTGAGGTGTGCCCAAACGCCAGGCCCAAGGACCAAATGGGGCTTCATTGACAGCTGAAGTCTGACTCCAGTACGTCTGACCCAGCAGATATAAATATAACAGGGGCAGGCTGGATGGATAGACAAGCTGAGGTGGGGTCCTGAAATCTGCCCTGCCCCACAGGGGATGGCTCAGAAGGGTCCTTAAACCTTATCATACCCTCCTTTTCTAAACCAAGGAGTCACATCCATTCCCAGCTGTGTCCAACCACATGCAGCAGTGTTGGCTTGGATGGGTTTTCTTTTCCATGTTAAGCCCCTCCCACAGGCAAGACTATGGTAATTAGGGGCAGAGTTGGGACCCTGGCCAAGACTGAGCATTTACATTTAGGGAGCCCAACCTAAGTCTCCTTGAAGGGTCCCAAATTTCAGAAGGTGCTGAGCCCCTCCCCTCTGGAAACCAGGCTGCTTGGACACATCTCAAGAATCACAAGCCACTTGTGAAAAACTCTGGGCCTCTCAGCACACTCTGGTCAGGGGCATCATGTCAGAAAAATTCTGGTGGGGAGGACAAAGCTGTGTCAGTATATAGACTGGTCTTTGTGGTCATATTATCTCCTTCAACGTCTGCAGGTGGGCGGAAGCAGAGCACAGAAACCTATGAAAAGTTGGACGGGGGTGGGGGGGAAGAAACCAATGTTGGGGGAGCAACTGCCCCTCTTGCCGTGTTTTTGCCCGGTACATGTCAGCCCTTGGCCCTGGGCTTTTTCCTCAGGCAGCCTGGAGGTGTCTCCCCCAGCCAGCCAGCCGAGCCAGTTGGAGATGAGAGCCATACACTCTCCCTTCCCACAACCCAAAGCTCCAGGCACCTGCCTTCCCAGCCCTGTCCGCTCTGGCGGGTCATTAGAACAGTCTCCAGTGGCCAGCCGGCGTCTCAGTCTCCATGTCCACCCAGAGTGCTTTGTGCCTTGTTACGTATGCCGGGAATGCGACGTGCTGACGCTTCCATCCAGGGAAGAACTTTTGCCAGAGGGCAGCGGGGACAAGGGAGAGATGTCAGCTTTATCTTCTTTGACTGAAAGCCATGCAATAGTGCAGCAGCGGGAACAGAAAATCATCCACCTGGCCTCTAAAGCATCTGGGGGACTTCCTCAGTGTTAGTCCCGGAACAGATCAGACCGCGGGTTTCCTGCATCTCTGCTCTAATAATATTTTGGGTTGAATTTCCTTCTCTTTTTAAAGTAACCTTTCTGCAGTGAAAGTGGGCGCTTACATTATCATCACGAGAAAGCGTGAAAGGGGATTGAACTGGGGACCTCCAGAGCTAAAAGCATGAGCCGCACTCCCAAGGGGGCTGTAACAGACTCAGAGTCATTGCGGATTGCACCCGGAGTGGGAACAAACACTCACAATTCCAGAATTTTCACAAACACACATGGCCACACCTCCGCCAATCTGCAATCCTGACTGCCCCTAGAACCCACTGTGTCCGCACGTATATTGCATGTTCAAAGCCCACATGCAAATGTGCTATTCACTACACAAAGCAAAAGACGGATTTTCAGTCTAAAAGGATTTGTCTCACGTTAACTAAGGGAAAACAAGACCAACGCCTCCAGGGCCCAGCTTCATCAAGGTATGAGTGCACCTGTAGAGGAGCGGACTCACCCCTGCAGCGCTTCCTGCTGGTTACTTCCGGGAATTAGCTCTTCCAGCATCTGGATCACCCCCTGCAGGCTGGTGATCCGCCTGTCCTCTGGCCCCGATCCCTCCCAGGACCCCAGTGCCCTTTTACCTGGGGTGCTGCCCCCTGGCAGTAACCCCTCAGTCTTAGGGTCTCCCCTCCTCAGGGAACCCCCACCCACTAGTCTCACCTCAGTCGTAGGCTACTGCCAGTCATCATCTAGCCCCACGCCCTGGGGCAGACTGCAGTATCAGCCACTCATCACTGGCAAGGCTGGGTTTGGACCTACTGCCATTGCCTACCCCTGGGCTGCCCTCTGCAACCCCCAGTACCCCTTGGCCTTCTGCTAGGCCGCAGCCTGGGGCTTTCCAGGCTGGAGCTCCCCAGCTCCTCTGCCTTTCTCCAGCCCTGCTCCGCTCAGGTACCCTGTCTCTAGCGCCCTGCAGCCAGGCCCTTCTCTCTGGGCCTCTGGCTCACAGCCTTTTTATACAGGCCAGCGGGGGGCCTGATTGGGGCGTGGCCCAGCTGCAGCCCCTTCCCCAATCAGCCCAGCTTTTAGAGCTGCCGCCCGCCCTCTGCAGGGCTGCTTTTAACCCCTGCAGCCCTCTTTCAGGGCTGGTGTCAAGCCCTTCAGGGCAGGAGCGGGTGTCCACCCCGCTACAGCGCCTATTGAAATCCAGGGACGTTAGAAGCCTAAATACCTTTGTGGAGCTGGGCCCAAGATTTTAGAGAAGGATGCTCCAATGGTTAGGGCACTGATTTAGGCTTCCTGGGTTCAAGACTCACTGTGCCACCTTGGGCAAGTGACAGTCTGTCGGTACCTCAGCTCCCCATCTGTGAACTGGGGATAAGAGCACTTCCCTACCACCCAGGCGTTGTGTGCGATGCTCAGATGCCAAAGGAATGGAGGCCGTATAAGTGATAGGGGATAGACAGGAGAGAGCTCAAAGCGTGTATCTCTGCTGCAGCGGTTTTTGGGAGCAAACTGGCTGCTGAACTCTGCACCCAGGGAGTGTTGTCAGAGATTAAAAGTGCATGTGAGCGTGGCTTTGAAATGCTGGATCTATCGGGTTACAGACAAGGGTGGGTGAGGTAATACCTCAGGGCGTTTAGGGGTAGGAGTGTGCATCCCACAGGGATCAAAATCCAGCATCAGGAAAGCATCATGCAAAGGTGCAAAAGGAATCAATTTTACCACCGTTCTACTATTAACAAAGGGTGATTTGGGGCACTTCAATGGCAGGGGCACAGCTTGAGACACCTTAGAAGGGTTTGATTTCCAGAGAGAGGAGCTCCAAAAGTTCTGAAATCCAGGTCCCTTTAAGGTCTCCAGCTGGGCCCCTAAAGATTGACGCATTCAGAATCACTAGTCACTTTTGAAGACCTTGGTACAGCCTAATTTAGGAACTGGCCTGACCCAAACCCTTTGATCCAACAGCACCCCTGCAAGGCATGGCTCCACACTTAGCAAACTGGGCCTGACCTCTAAAGCAAATGGTAAGTCACGGACCCAAGAGAACCATTCAAATGTTTCTGTAAACGAAGGTCTGAATGAGGGAGCCTGTGGCTTCCGTCTGCCCTGTCACTTCTGCCATAAAGCGACCTAGAAAGTGGTGAGCCTCACTCACAATCCCAGTCACAATATTTGTTGCCACCATACAAAGTCCTAAACTTATTATTGAGCAATAGGACATCCAGGGCTTCCAAATCCTCTTGCTCCAGCTTCTCAACCTTTCCTCTTTTTGACCCAGGTGGCAAGACAGAGATTCCCAGACACTATTTCACCCAAAGCTCTGAGAAAAAGCTTCTACTAGTCATTTAAACCACACCCGTCACCATGGTATTCTCATATCTGTCTTGCCAGAGCCCTGCCTCACAGACCTTACCTCTCTTCATTTCCCACTCTTCTGCTCATCTGATACTGGTCTCCTCGCTATACCTCCATGCAACCTCACCACCTTCTCCTCCGCACCTTCTGCTGTGATTGTCAATCATCTATATTACCGTAGCAGCCAAAAGCACCAGTTAGGATCAGGCCCCCATTGTGCTGGGCAGCATACAGACATAGATGAGGAGACATCGTGGAGAATGGGGATGTTTGTCGCCCTTCTAGTAGCTGGTCCATAAAAAAGGTTTAGGAATCAGCTACAGGGCTTCACTTAGTTCTTTACCTCAAGGGGTGGCAAGTCATGCTTTTAGTGCACAAAGTCCTGGGTTCAAACCACACTGGTGGCCCAGATGGGTTCAGGTACATGAATAAATCTCTCTCCCTCCAGCTACAAGCACATCTGACCCAAGCACTGTTCTTTTCATCCTTGCCTCATTTCACTTCTCCTTCCCTCCCTCTCCTTTATCTCACGCTGACACTGTGCTTCGCTCTTTCCAGCATGCTGGCACGCAGGGTGTTTGAACGATGCTACAATTATTATTGAGTTGCATTGCAGCCCCCTGCGATCGCTCTTTCAGCACTTGCTTCTTCTCTTTAAATCATAACCTGACATTTGTCAGTTTGTGCCAGGGAATGTTTCTGTTTCAACCTCACAGTCCAAGCCCAGAAAGAACTAAACGGACCCACCACTCCATGCGTTTCCCACCTGCACTGGTGCCGAAATGGCGGCGTTCAGCGGCAGAAATGAAACTCGTCTGCATTTATCTCAACACGCCTTGCCTGTTCCAGGTTAGACACTCTGACGTTTTACCAGCGCGGGTGGGTTGGGGAAGCAGAGAAAAGACATTCGTTTGCATGTACGCAGCCCCTTTCTTTCGAAGAGCTGTTAGACTAATGCATCAGACCATACGCATGGGGCCCTTCCCCAACACCGAGATGCAGATGAAGCAGGGCAGCTGCTTAACAGCATGCGGCACCCCCATCTCATTTATGCCGTATCCAGTTGGAAGTGCAGGGGAATTCAGAGAGGGCAAGGGCCCCAGGTATATTGGAATTGTCCCAGGGGAACCCCAGGGGAACCCCTCTCTTCTGGTAATTAAAGCCCCGGGAAGCTGTAAAGATGTGGTCAGCCCATGGTCAAGCAACAGCAAGACTTGTCTGGCCTTGCTCACCAATTGGCTGCTGCAGCCCCCTATGACCAATGCTAAGAAAATAGCTTCCACCGGCGTTTCAATGAGATGAGCAGGACGGTGTCTCTAGCCCATCCGTCTATCTAGCCGGATCCTTTCATTAACAACATATTACATGCAGGTGCCCACAACACCCACACATGCAGCGTAGAGGACTCTTACGTATACCATGGGAAGCAGCAATGCAAACTTCCTGTGCGACCTCAGTAAGATGCGTCATAAAGGGACACCTCTTAGAGTGGAAGGGTAGTTTGGCCTCTCTGACCATTCCGTTCATGGCCTCCCCGATGAAGTGGTTAAGCATCATGGTGTGGGAGGTTTGCAATGTGAGCACCTGCCTGCAAGGAACTGGATTGAGACCAACAAACTCATTGCACATAGGCCATCAGATTGCCCATGGATAGAAGCAGTGTTGGTCATCTGCAGATGAAAGGCTCCCGATACCCGTGACCTGCCCACTCCTGGTAATAGTCTTTAGGGGTCTGCGCATTGTTTCTTCTGCTCTGGCTTTGCAGGACTGGAAGAATAGCTCCCTACTGAACAATGACATCTTAGGGGCCACCCTTGAAAACTACAGTGTCACCAACCTCACTGAGCCTGTGGAGATCCGGTTCTGGCATAACCAAACGCTGGTGAGCTGGTGATCATGGCCCACAAAGGCATTTAACAGCAGCTATCACTCTGGGCAAGGGAAGGCAAATAGCTCTCCAGGACACCGGAGTGGGGAGGTCAGTGTAGCTGAAGTCTCAGGAACAGCCAGGGCTCTTGAAACCCAATGGGAATTCAACCTGTTGCTTGAAGGGTGGATTTGGGCCAGTATCTCTCTGCCTCGGTGTGCAAAGAGGTGGGAGCGAGCGCATAAGGAGCTCCCCCTCCCTGAGCCCTGGCACCATTGACTGCCCGAGATCCCAAAGGGGAATGTAATTCCTGCTCCCTGCTAGCAGTGTGCTCAGATGCTAGAGGCCTGACAGGGAATGGCAGGCTAAGAGCAAGATCTCCCCTGCTCTGTACCACCCAGTAGAACTGGCCTGGCACGGAGGAGGAGTATGCCACTTTCTCGAAGGGGATGCAGCGGGCATGCGCATGTGTGCTCCCTGGGAGGAGTTCTACTGAGGCAGAAGCTGTAGCAGAAAACAGAGTAGCTGCTGCAGGGATGGAGTGGGGCTTTTGAAATGCTTCTCTTCTCCTCTGACCTCCCCTGGAGCTACGGGAGAGAGGGGGGAGGTCCTGGCTCATTGCAACCAATAAGGCGTGTGGTGGTTGGTTGGTTTTTAACCACAAAGCCAGTGCAGTCCCACTGACTCCTGCCAACTCTTCTCTGTGAAGTACTGCAGAGACTCTGAGGGTCAGCCCGCGTGCAAGTTGTCTTTGTCCGGACTGGGGAGCAGGTGGGAATCTTTAGGTGGGAGAGACGTGCTCGCCAAGTGGGCACCACGCAATGTAACCCAACTGTGCAGACGTAGGAGGAAGCCATTGGCCCTTTGTGCTCTCGGGTATATTGGAGGCACGTCAGAGAGCAGCAATGAACTGATTACGGGGATTTAGAGGAAAAGATTGCGAAGCAGAATGGCCAAATGACGAAGGAGCTCTAAGTCAACTGCTTGAGAAGTATGTAGGGCCAGATCCTCACCTGGTGTAAATTTTCCTGCTGAAAATCTAGGTGTAAGCAGGGGGAAAGAAAGAAAAGAGCGTAGGGTACTCCAAAGGGGTATTATTACTCCAAGGGGGTATTATTACTAACTCAGAGTAATGGGATAAAACTGATTAACTATCAAATATTTCCTCACTCCACTGCGGAATAGTCTCCCAAGTGATGCAGTGGATTCCTGTGATGGGGCTTCATGTTAATAGTGGGCAGGAAAAAGTGCTGGGAAATATGCCATAGGGAACAACACTGCATAGGCAGGAGGGACCAGTCACAAGACTTTTCCCTAACGAGCCCAGGTTACGTACGTTGCTTGGAACTAAGGGAGCACAGACACCTCACCATGTGCCTCATGTTTTCTCCCCCCGCCCCCCAACCAGGATAACTCAAGTGCGATCTGCGTCTTTTGGGAGGAAGGACCAGGTAATTATGACACTCACAGCATCACGCGGTACCCGGGCATGCATGCAAGGAACGAGGAAGAGGCAAAACAGAGATGGTGGGAGTCATTCAATGGAGAGCGCATTGCCTTAGACACCAGGGGGACCTAAGGACCAAACATGCAGCTGCAATTTACCAGACAGACTCTGAGGTTTCATGCTATGACCGTCCCTATCTGCTGCCAGACTATACTCACCCCAGCCACCTTGCCAGGAGAACTTGGGAACCCTGACCTCCCTTGGCTCCCAGCGACAAGCATCCTCCTGTCATCCCAGAGCTGCTTACGGAGCGCCCCCCTCTGTGCACAGAGCCTTGCCGAGCGTAGGGCTATATAGAGACCCACACTGGCACCTACTGGAGGACTAAACCCCACACCCCTCAGGGGTTTCCTGAGTGAGTGCCATTGTCGCGCACAAAGCGGGTGGAGAGCGGGCCCAGGTCAGCCAGAGCCACCTGCAAACAGCCACGCAGAGCACAGGCACTTCCCACAGGCTTGTAAAAGCAACTCCCATTTTTATGCCCTTCTTCCAAGGAAGGAGTCATATAGAGACCCAGGGCCATAGAATTTAAGGCCAGAAGGGACCCCCAGATCCTCTAGGCTGGCCTCCTGGATCATCGGCCACTAAAAACACAACCAAGCACCAAACCACCACCCGTTGAACGGAACGTTACAGCCCTCAGAGACTGAACAACTGTGTGCCACAAGCAGAGAACAGGGATTCAGGTTCCCTCAGTGCCCAGGGGTGAGATGCACCCAGATAAACCTGGCAAGTGACCTGCCCCCCACGCTGCAGAAGGCAGCAAAAACACTGCTCCAAGGTCCTTGCCCCTGAGAACTGGAGGTTCCCTGCTCTTAGAGAGCCTGTAGGTGCCCAGGGCTGGATCTTAGGGGTTGCAGAGGAGGGTGAAGGGAGGGGGACATTTTGTCCTGCTAGCTTTATTCCTTCCCTCCACTATATGCCTGAGAACAGCTCTCCAGGGTTCGGCACCAACCCACATGAGCCCTAGTGCTGTGTAGCCTTGAACCACAGGTAGCCCAAACCCAACTCCGATCCCAATGCTGGCCCAGGTCTAGCGTCAACACCCCCATGTCGCAGTAGCACTCCCTGAGATCACCCCTTGCCCCACACTCTTGATTGTTTTTGCGGTTGGAGACAGGGGGAAACATTTTCAAAAGTACCGAAGCCCCACTGAAAATCAATGGGCCTTGGGCTCCTAAGTGAGTTGGTGCTTTGGAAAATGTTGCCTATGGGTTTTCTGAGGCTCGGCCTCACTGCTCTGTGGCCGTCGGCTGTTTTCCTTAAGGCCGTTTCTCCCTCTTGCAGAAAACGGCAGCCTGGGGAACTGGAACAGCGCTGGCTGTGACACCCACCACCAAAATGGCGTAGTGCTGTGCCAGTGTAACCACCTCACCTACTTTGCCGTGCTGCTGGTAGGAAGGCTGTTTCTCCCCCACTGTTCTTGCTCTGTTTGGGGGTGTATGAGGCTCCCCCCCCCACAGCCATCAGACACAGTCTTTGCTCCCTCTCAATCCCTGTCTCTCGAGGTGCTCTAGATCAGTGGTTTTCAAACTTTTTTTCTGGCAACCCAGTTGAAGAAAACTGTTGATGCCCGCGACCCAACAGAGCTGGGGATGAGGGGTTTGAGGTGTGGGAGGGGCTCAGGGCTGGGGCAGAGGGTTGGGGTGCGGGGCTGAGGGCTGCGGGGTGGGGCTGGGAATGAGGGGTTCAAGATGTGGGAGAAGCTCTGGGCTGGAGCAGGAGGTTGGGTTGTTCGAGGGGGTCAGGGCTCTGGGCTGGGGGTGCAGGCTCTGGGCTAGGGCTGGGGATGAAAGGTTTGGGGTGCAGGAAGGGGCTGTGGGTTGGGGGGGCTCGGGGCTGGGGCAGGGGATTGGGGCGCGGAGGTGGGGCTTATCTCAGGCAGCTCCCAGTCAGCGGTGCAGTGGGGGTGCTAAGGCAGGCTTCCTGCCTGTCCTGGCAGTGTGGACTATGCTGTGCCCCGGAAGCGGCCAGCAGCAGGTTCGGCTCCTAGGCGGAGGCACACAAACGGCTCTGCACAGCTCTTGCCTGCAGGCACCTCCTCCCAGCTTGGGTCCCGGCCAATGAGATTGCGAGGCCGGTGCGCGGAGTGGGGGCAGCGTGCGGTGCCCCGGAGCTTCCCCGCCTAGGAGCCGAACCTGCTGCTGGCTGCTTCTGGGGTGCAGCGCGGTGTCAGAACAGGTAGGGACTAGCCACCGCCGATGGGACTTCTAACAGTCCAACTGGCAGTGCTGACCAGAGCCACCGCGACCCAGTGCCTTCCATTGGGTCGCGACCCACGGTTTGAAACCCACTGCTCTAAAGCACTCATCCCTCTCCCAGGGCTGTTTCCTGTTTGCCTTCTCCCTGACTCATTCCCCGCCAGCCGCTCTCAGTGCTCTGAGCGGCTCATTTCCCCGCAGCTGGGCTCCACCACGAGGCCCTGCTTCCATTTCCCTTTCCTCTTTCACACCCGCCCTGCAGGGGCTGAGAGACGTGCAGCACCATCCTCTGGGGCCGCCTCGCCCCAGCACCTGTTATACAGCGGGGGATGGATGCACATGCGTGCACCCCCACAAGGGTTACATTAGGACACACTCTGCGCCGCCCCCGCTCTGGAGGGAACCTCTTGGACCCGCTGACCAACCCGTCTCACGGGGTCAGGATAGGGGGTCGAGCTTTGAGGCGGTTCCCTCGTCCCCCTCGGAGCTCTGGAAGGGGGGAGGAGATAGGACAGAGGCCAGTGACATCCAGCAGCCTCAGGGACGGGTGCCAAGCTGGGGGGGTGGAACAGGCTCCAGGCCTGAAGAAGCTGGAGGGGGTTGAGGGGAGAATGAAAGGCTAGGGCGGCCGTGAAGGCTGAGTACCAGTGCCGAAGGGCTGCATTCATTCCTCACCCCTTCCCCTCCTCATCCCATGCAGAAAATCTCCTCAGCGCCCATAGACAAGGCCATCCTGGCTCCTCTCACCTACATCTCCATGGTGGGCTGCAGTGTCTCAGCCGCTGCCTCGCTCCTCACCATCCTCCACTACCTCGCCTCCAGGTAACCCCATTGCTGTGCTGAGCGGTTCCCGCCCAGGGTGCCTGGCCGAGCTGAGTCAACAGGGGCTCCCTCAAGAGAGATGCTAAACCAAATTCATCCCAATGGGGACTCCCTACTGAGGCCCCTGGGGTTACACCCGGGGTTAGTTTGGCCCTTTTTGGAGAGTTACACTTGCCATTCCCACCCCCAAGACGTCACGTTCCTACTTGAATTTCTGCACCGTTCTCCCATCTGCTCCTGGAGGGATCCAGTTATCCCTGGCCACATCCCTTGCCGCAGAGACGAGACAGGGGCCAGAGCAGCAGCAGGTGTCAGGCAGCCGAGTTCCATTGTAATCTTTGGAACATGCCAGCCCACAGCAGCGGAGGATCTGACCCAGAGCTTGGCTGTCATGAATTCTTCACCGAGGCTGCTGGACACAGACAGATCTTGTGGTTTTCTGGCTTTTTAGCTCCCAGCCTCACTCAGGCCTTGTCTACATTAGAAAGGGGTTGCTGGTATGCCAGCCAACCTTCCTAGGGCAGGCTCGGCCAGGGCCGTCTTAACTCTCCTGTGGGCCTGGGGCTATTAGATTTTGTGGGGCCCCTGTATACAAGTCTTTTTCCTGGGAGGGAGTTTGGTGCAGGAGGGGGCTGGGGCAGGGGGTTGGGGTGCAGGAGGGGGATTCTGACCTGGGGCAGGGGGTTGGAGTGGAGGAGGGGATGCGGGGGCTGGGAGAGAGTTTGGTGCAGGAGGGGGCTCCGGGCTGGGGCAGGTGTTGGGGTGCAGAAGGGGTGCGAGGTGTAGGCTCTGGCTGGGAGGCGCTTACCACACGTGGCTCCCAGCCGGGAGTGCAGCAGGGCTCAGGCAGGCTGCCTGCCCGGTTCCCGGCCAATTGGAACTGTGGGGACGGTGCTGGGGGCAGGGGCAGCACGCGGAGCTGCCTCCTGCCCCTCCAGGGGCCGCAGAGACGTGCCAGCAGCCAGCTGCTTCTGGGAGCGACATGGGGCAGGGCAGGCCACCTGAGCGCCCCAGAGATCGCTGCCTGTGATTGATTTTTCTGGGAGCCCCCTTGAGCCAGGGCCCCGGGCTGCAGCCCCTAAAGCCCCTGCCTTAATCCAGACACGGGTTTGGCTATACTGCAACTGGTATCGCTTATCCCTGCTGCCCGACGCACTTTGAACGTTATCTACACTAGGGGTTTGGCCTGTAAAGAAACAGAATAAAAGTCACACCCCTAACAGACATTGCTAGAGTCACCAGTGGTTCTAACACAGTGTGCACTGCCTGTGTATCGCCACGTGGTCTATGGACTCAGCCCCCAAGGAAGGGACAGGACATTTCCACACCCACCCCAACGTGGGCCCTATCGAGATATGAGACAGCTCTGGCGTTCTCCTGCAGCACACGCTGACTGGAGGGGATGTCCCAGGTGGAGGGGCTGGGGTGGGGGGGCAGGAGTGGATTGCGTTGCCTGCTTTGCACCCCCTCCCGTTCCCCATTTCGAGGGCAGTCAGAAGGAACTGAGTTCTATTTGCGGTGTTCATTTTAGGAAAAAGAGCAGAGATTATACAGCCAAAATCCACATGAACCTGCTGGGTGCCCTCTTCTTGCTGAATGTCTTCTTCCTGCTCAGTGGGCCCCTGGCATCGGTTCAATCCACGTGGCTCTGCAGAGGCACTGCCGCCTTCCTCCAATACTCCCTGCTCTGCTGCTTGACCTGGATGGCCATCGAGGGCTTCCACCTCTACCTGCTCTTGATCAAAGTCTACAACGTGTACATCAGGAGATATGTCCTCAAACTGTGCGCCGTTGGCTGGGGTAAGTGCAGGTTCTCTACCCAGACAGATGCCTCCCTCACAACCCACGAGGAGCTCCGTCCCTCCTGCCAAAACCACAGCCCTTCCGCTGCACTCTCTGCAGTGTCACCAGATTCCAGTGAGAGATGTCGCCACATTTCAATCACTCAAGATCTGGGGGGGCGGTCAGAGCCAGGCATTGGCCTGTGGGAGGGAGGCTGTCCACTGCTGATCAAAGTGCTCCTTTAGATGTATTCTGAGAGCCAGAGGACCTCGGCTCTAGAATTAGATAGTAATTGTCTGTTTGCAATGCATTAGCTTGTTGCATAGTAAAGAAGTAGGGGCTGGTTGCAGAGTTTATATCCAGATTTGGTTTCCAATCCTTCCCCAAATGCTCAGGGGTTTTGATGGGGCCCACCTCTCATGTGTATATTTCCTATGCGTGATAGGGGTGTGGGGGAGGGAATCTACAGTGCCCTACCAACATCTAATATAAGCCAGCCTGGTTTACCTGGAGTGTGCTGGGACAGCAGAAACTTTTTTGAGGGACATAACTGCATCTTGCTCACACAGCCATGACCTGCCTTTGTGTTTCTGCTCTCTAAAATGGCCCCATATTCCATCACCACTTGTCCCATCTGCCTTACTGGATTTTTCCTTCCTCCAATATACTTCTCTTCCTACCTATGTCCAAGGACCAACTCCTTTGAATGCTACCCAGTTTCCTACCCTCCAATTACTTAGGTCCTTCTTATGTATTCCCATCATGTTCAATCATAGCTTAGTTGGTGTGTATCTCCCGCCCCCACAGGACTGCCAGCCTTAGCTGTGGTTAGCATTCTCATCTTCAAGGAAGAGACATACGGGCTGCACATAATTGAGACTGACACGGGCTACGACAATGCAACTATGTAAGTGTTAGACATGGGTGGGATGGTCCACACACAATCACGTTCTGCCATAATGGGGACCAGCAGGGGTTGAGGCTGGGTTCCCAGTGGTACAGTAGGTCTCCTAATCATTAAAAGCTTCTGTGCTCCCCAGTCCCTCCTGGTTCTTTTCCACATGGTCCTATCTTCTGCAGAATGCAGGATAAAAAAATGTGGTTCTATTCTCCTAAGCCTTGTATCCTACCTCCAAGCAATGTGCCATCCATGGAGTGCTCTAATCAGATCCATGGGCAATGAAGATTAAGGCTCTGGCTAGGCCACAGAGCTTACGGAGGTGCAGAAGTTCTCCTGCCAACATAGCACTGTCCACACCCGTATTTAGGTCATTATAAGTTACATCACTCAGGGACGGCTTAGTCACACCCCTCAGTAACATAACTTATACCGACGTACGCTGTCGCGTGTACATAGCCTAAGTCCAACTCTCCAAAACACGGCGACTTTCCCGGGTGCATGATGCTGGTTTAGAACAATTGCGCCATTTACCCAGCATTGTCCTCTTTCGGCCTGTCCTAGGATTGTGGGATGGTTTGAAAACTACAGTGCCATTCACACATCACTAGACCATTTCTGGTGGATGGTGCTGTCCTCTACTCGGAGTATGGTGCTGTCCTCTGCCCAAGACATGCTCCGACTCCCCAGAGGCAGTGCAATTTTGCAAGTATGTTGCCCTTCCCAAAGAACAGGGCAGGTCTCCAAAGCCTGGTTCCAGCCCAGAACCACGGTGCCATTTCCCCACAGATGGTGCTGCTCCCTTTGCATTGGCGCTGAAATCCCATCTCAGCTATGGCGCAATAGGCTTCCCCCAACACAACACCCTTCCCATGCACTGCTGTGGTCCCCCCTTTCCAAGGCTTGCAGGCATTTACTAAGGCAAATTAGAGCCTGAACTCACCAGCAACACTAAGCAGCCCAAAGAGCCTTTCCACCCCGTCCGAGACAGATGTCCCTTCTGTCCTCCTCATCGGGAATCCCGTTTGCTGGCACACAAAGTAGCTGGCTCCCCAGCAGCCTGGCACGGATGTCTGCTACCCTATCTGGGCTCTGACCACAAGGCCTGGATCCCCGGGGCCCTGCTGGAATGGTGTAATTCTCATGGCATGGTGCCATTCCCAAAGTAAGACATCCCTCCCCAGCCACAGGGCCAATCCCCACAGTGTGGCATCATCGTCATTAGCATACGAGAGTCTCCTCCTCTTCTCCCATAGGTGTTGGATCACAGACAAGGCCCAGGATGTTCATTACATCCTCAACGTGGGCTACGCTGGTATCACCATACTCTTCAACATGGTCATCTTAGTCACCGTCATGAGGATGCTGAGGAAACTGAGATCCAACATGAACAGTCAGAAAGAACGAGTGAAGAAGGATCTGGTGACAGTGCTGGGACTGACGTGCCTGCTAGGAACGACCTGGGCACTGGCCTTCCTCGGTTTCGGTGTCTTCTTGATTCCTCAGCTCATCCTCTTCACTATCATCAACTCCCTCCTGGGTCAGTGAGGCTGCAGGGCCCAGTGCTCAGGCAGTGGGATGAATGGGATGGAGCCCTGAAGCAAAGCCCCGTCAAGGGGGATTCTGCAGAAGGAGGCTCAGATGGCAGGGCTGGATTAGCCCCAGGGTTCTATTACCTCTGATTTAGGAGCAGCAGAGTCCCCTCGAGGTTTCTGCTAGCTCCTGGTCATTGCTGTTATAAGTAGCACGGTTCTCAGCCACCACCCGTTCAGTGCACTTCTGCTGCTGCTGCCCCTGCCTCTGAAGCCAGGAGTGGGGAGGGGAAAGGACATGGAGGTTTCTGTGAGGTCAGAAGTCAGAGGGCCCTGCTGCTATGTTACTCACTTATTGACATGGGCACCATGGAGCAACCCTAGTGACCGAAGGTTTACAATGTGCTTTCCACCTGCAGGGTTCTTCATCTGCCTCTGGTACTGCACCATCCGCCGCGAGCCGGATCCCAGCTCCTCCACCGGGAGTTCTCAGATGACAAAATAACCAGGCCAGGCAGCTGGACTGTGCTCCCAAAGGGGCACAGCTCACCCCCCAGGAGCAGATTCACTTGCTGGAACTGGCCTGCCCCAGTTACCCCAGGCAGGTCTGCGCTTCTGATGGGGGATTTAGCAAGGGAAGAGACACACTCCTCAGTGCCTTCACACACGCGGCCGCAAACAGCGCGACAATGAGCCTTCCAAGCAGCTTATGCAGAGTTTGTCGAGTAGGCGAACAGGACCTGGGCAAGACTGAGGGGTAACAGAACAGCCCCTCTCACAGCACAGGGAATTACTGTTCCCTAGGAGGCTAGAGGCAGACAATGCTTGGGGCGTTGATTCCCCCTCCATTGCACCTGGTGTCTTTATTTACACCTGCGCACAGTGAGTGCAGAGAAGGTGCACATCGCTACCAAACCACACCTCCCCACCCACTCACACCAGGGGTAATGTCGTGCACACACACTGAGGGGGGAAAACAAGGAGAATCAGAGCATATGTGTCTGTCCCCCTCCTCCCCCCCAGGAAGCTATAAACACCCCGGTTTGTTACATTTCCTTTTGAACTCATGCGATGATTCTCCCGTCCCGGTCACTTCACCATGGAGAGAGATTCTATACTCAGCTAACTGCCCTGGCACAGGCCCCTACCATTCAAGCTAAATGAGAGGATTTGTTAGCAGTACGGGGCTAATGACATACATCGGAGCAGTTTTGATTCCATTCAGTAGAGGGCAGTGGTGTATGCAGGCTCGTGCACACACCGACCTGCTCACCCCAACACCAACCCATTACGAACCAATCAGATGTACCCAAACACCCTGACTTTTGAGGAGGTTGGAACCCAAATCCTAACCCTGCTGCTCAAGCCCATCTCTGATTTAAAGAGGACAGGCAAACAACAGGGAAGGAGATGGAAGGAAACTGCAGAAAAGAAGGAACTAGAAATTGGAGAGGAGGAATTACAGAGCAGGGCAGTAAAGAAACAGACATGGTGAAACAGGGAGTGTAGGGAAAGGAAATAATAGCAAAGGGGCTGTGAATTCCTGGATGCTGGAGACTGTATTGCGGGACATCAGCCGCCACTAACTGGTCAGTGAAGAGATCTTGCCGCAAAGGTAGACGCTGCAGCTGAGTTCTCTCTCTCTCTCACACACAGACAAGTCCACAACCTGGATGGACTAAACCTGGAACCAATGTGCTTTTGCTTTTTTAATGACCGTGTGGGGAGTTTATTGCTCTTTTGTACCCAACCAGAGATTTCCATTAAACTGCTTTACAATGGGGCATCCACCCCACCCGCACCACTGCCTGCTCTGGCCAAAGCCCATTCCCGGTGTTGGACTTTGTTGCATGCAAGTGACTGGAGCCCGCCTGCTGGAGTAATAAAAACAAGCAATGACCCTAGTGGCTGCTCTTGAAGCCTGCCAGTCTGTTGTGCATTTGAAGCTGGGTCTGGGTCGAAATTTCCTTGCTGAAGAGTCCACCACAGAATGAGTCTGCTTAACTGTGGCCCTGCTACTCATGCCCCGTGGAAGACTCCACAGACGCATCACAGCTGGGATAGTATTTGCAGTGGGGTGGTCCTGTGATCATAGGAGTCCTTGTGGCACCTTAGAGACTAAGACATTTATTTAGGCATAAGCTTTTGTGGGCGAGAACCCACTTCATCAGATGCATGGGGTGGAAAATACAGGAGCAGGTATAAATACATGAAAAGGTGGGAGTTGCCTTACCAAGTGGGAGGTCAGTCTAACGAGACAATTCAATTAACAGCAGGATACCAAGAGAGGAAAAATAACTGTTCTTGAAGTTTTTGAAGTTTTGTTTTTGAAGAATTGCCACTTTTAGGTTTGTTATTGAGTGACCAGGGAGATTGAAGTGTTCTCCTACACTTTAATCTCCCTGGTCACTCAATAACAGACCTAAAAGTGGCAATTCTTCAACAAAAAAACTTCACAAACAGACTCCAACGTGAAACTGCAGAACTGGAATTAATTTGCAAACTGGACGCCATCAAATCAGGTCTGAATAAAGACTGGGAGTGGTTGGGTCATTACAAAACCAAAACCTAATTTCCCCCATACTAATTTCCCCCTACTGTTACTCACACCTTCTTGTCAACTGTTTGAAATGGGCCACTCTCATTACCACTACAAAAGTGATTTTTCCTCCCTTGGTATCCTGTTAAGTGAATTGTCTCGTTAGACTGACCTCACACTTGGTCAGGCAACTCCCATCCTTTCATGTATTTATACCTGCTCCTGTATTTTCCACTCCATGCATCTAATGAAGTGGAGTTTAGCCACGAAAGCTTATGCCCAAATAAATGTCTTAGTCTCTAAGGTGCCACAAGGACTCCTCATTGTTTTTGCTGATACAGACTAACATGGCTACCACTCTTGCTTGTAGGGATTCCTTTGCCTCCCTCCCCCTTGCCCCCTAGCTGACAGCCCTTCATACA